ACCCAGACAGGCCAGATGCACTGGCAAATGACTAATCCTAGCTAGATGGGAGGGTGGAGCAGGAAGATCCTGACATGTGAGATTCTGTCAAAAATTCATCAGCTGGAGCTGAGCAGTAGCACAGTGGTAAGACGTGATGCTCTGTGATGCTGAGCTACATAGGAAGGTTCTCAGTTCACATGTAAACTCTCCGAATATGCTAGGCACATTGGGTACCTGTTATCTGGAGCTGGCTAAAGACTGATGGATCAAGGCATCAAGACATTGTTGGGGGTACAGTCTCTTTTGCTCTCTCTCTCTTTCTCTCTTTATTTCCTTCGCACTCATGAAAAAAAATACGTACACTTTTTTTTTTTTGGAGAGGTTTTCGCTATAGGGTGTGTGCGCTCACCAGACAGAGAGAGACAGAGAGACAGAAAGTGACAAATCACCCCCCAGGGGGGATGGTCATGCCACAATCCCTTCTCCTCCATTCTCCTCTCGGGATCTTGGGCATGCACACACATGCGCCCGGCGTGAATTTTAAGCCACCGGGTCCGGGACGCGAACTGCGGTCGACTACGTGGGAGTCCAGTGACATAGCCATTACGCTAACTGCTGGTTCCCAATACATACACTTTTAAAAATATCAACCAACTTATCTTTCTCTCTCTCTCCTTTTCTCTCTGTCTCTTCCTTTCATAAATAAATTGATACTTCTTTTTTTTATTTTGGAGAGGTTTTTTTTGCTATAATGCCTGTGCGCTCACCAGAAAGACAGAGAGAGACAGAGAGATAGGAAGTGAAAAATCACTCCCTAGCGGGGATGGCCACACCGCAATCCCTTCTCCTCCATTCTCCTCTTGGGATCTTTGGCATGCACACACACACACACCCGGTGTGAGTTTAAGCCACCGGGGCCGAGACTTGAACCTTGGTAGACTACATGGGAGTTCAGCAACATAGTCATTACGCTAACTGATAGTCTCCAATAAATCAGTGATTTTTTAAGAGAGATTTTTGCTATAGGGCACATGCACTTGCCAGAGAGACAGAGAGATAGAAAGCAAGAAATTGCCCCCAAGGGGGATGGGCATGTTACAATCCCTTCTCCTCCATTCTCCCCTCAGGATATTGGGCACGCATGCACACATGCCCAGCATGAGTTTTAAGTCATCAGTCTGGGATTTGAACTGCATATGACTACATGGGAGTCCGGTGATGTAACTAACCATCATGCCATCTGCTGGTTCTGATAAATCAATAATAAAAGAATAAAAGAAAACAGTTTGTCAGTGGGCATATGAGTTCACTGGAAAGCAAGCATGTAGCAGGGTGTTTGCTACATTTTAAAAAGTAATTATTTTTTATCTACCCAAAAAACAGGAGAATGCTCAGTCAAAAAAGTGCTGGCACATCTATGTTTACTGCAGTAAAATTCACAACTACTAAGGCATGGAACCAATCCAAATGTCCATGAACAGATGAATGGGTTGAAAAAGTATGGCAAATATACTCCATGGAATACTATTCAGACATAAAAAACAAGACCCTGGCATTTGATAGAAAGTGGATGAATTGAAAGATTTGTTGCTAAGTGAAGCAAGTCAGACCATGAAAGAAGCATTGTATGTCACCACTTAACATATACCAACTGTCTACACTTTATGGTAGAGACTGAAAGATTGGACGGCATAAAAGCATTGGAAATAGTTATGGACACTGGAGACATTGTGGAAGGAGAATGGGAGAGGGTAAGAGGGTAGGGAAGGAAATTAGGGAGAAAAGTACAAAAGTAAGACATTTGTGGGACACAGGAATGGTTTATTGCCTATTGATGATAATTTATATAATATTCTCAACTTGATTGGTCTGAGGTGTATTTCATGTTTGGTAAATTCTCTCTATAAGCTAAATGATATATAGCAATTGAATGTATAAAATAATAACAATGAATAAATTTTAATATAATAATTATATTTTATTGGGTTGGCAATAGCATAGTGGTTAAGCACACAGAGAGAGAGAAAGTGAAAAAGCACTCCCAGGGAAAATGGCCATGCTGCAATCTCTTCTCCTCCTTTTAGAATTATGGACGTGCATGTACACATGCCCCAAATGTTTTTCAAGCCACTGAGTCTGCATCATCAGCATGTGAGATCCAGCCACCTTATTCCATACCATTGGCTAGCCCCATAAATATAAATATCTATCTATCTATCTATCTATCTATCTATCTATCTATCTATCTATCTATCTATCTATAGCCTTTCTGGGTGGGCTTCATAGCCTAGTGATTAAGAGAGCTAAATCTCACACGGCAAACTGCATTTAGAATGTTGGCTCCAGCAGCTTGAAAAACATGCCACGTGTGTATGTGTTTGACCAAAATCCTGACAGGAGAGAGACATGGAGAAGGAGGAAGTGAAGCATGACTATGCCCCACTGAGGGGTGCTTTCTTCTCCTTCTCTCTCTCTCTCTCTCTGGTGAATGCATGTACTTTTTCTTTTTCCTTTGAGAGATTTATGCTATAGGGAATGTGCACTTGCCCGAGAAACAGAGAAAGTGAGAAATCACCCCTTCCCCCCCCCCAGGGGGAATGGCCATGCTGCAATCCCTTCTCCTCCACTCTCCTCTCGATATTTTGGGCATGCACGCACATATGCAACCAGCGTGTTTTAAGCCACCAAGTCCAGGATTCAAACTGCAATCATGTACGTGGGACTCCAGTGACATAACCATCTCACCATCTGCTGGTCCCAAACGCATGTACTTTTTGACAATTAATAAAATGTTCTTTCTAAGCAATTAATGGACATAGTGAGTTTTTAAGTTAGTTAATGAGCAAGTTGAGGTAAGATATTTAATTTGGGTTTTTTTTTTTTTTGAGAAGAAAAATTTTTGTTATAGGGTGTATGCGCTCTCTGGAGAGACAGATACAGACAGAGTGACAGAAACTGAGAGATTAGTCCCCAGAGGGAATGGCCACACCACAATCCCTTCTCCTCCATTCTCCTCTTGGCATTTTGGCCATCTACGCACATGCGCCTGGAGTGAGTTTTAAGCCAATGAGTCTAGGATTCAAACCATGTTCAACTATGGGGGAATCCAGCGACGTAACTATTATGCCATATACTGGTCCCTTAATTTGTTTTTAAGTGATTTTTAAGACAATATTTTTACTATGCTTGTGTCTCCTGTGAGTCAGGTATCAGTAAGAGCCTGGTGGGGATGATCTGTCTCAGTTCCATGATTCACATTCAGCTAGAAAGACCCAAAGGCTAGGAATGAATGAATGAGTGTTACTTTGGTTTCCAAGTGATTTTGCAGAATTTTTTAAAAATGAGTCAACTACTCCAGTGTATTTAAGAACTAAATGAGTATAAATGTCCTTGAAAATTGAGAGATGACAATTAAAGATCAATCAGAAAATTTTTAAAATCCTTAAAATATATATATATATAACCCAGATAAAAACTGAGTTAAGTTTGCCAGAGGGTTTTAAGAACTTGGCTATTGTATAAAGTGGAACATCTGTTTGTGATTCTTGGGAAGAATATTTATGACCTTAAAAACAATCACTTCATGTATCATGATACATACATTGATTTGTTACATAAAGAAAAGTTAGGCACAGAAAACTGGATTTAAATCGTATTCTACTTTTTGGAAATAGCCTGTTTATAAGAACAACTAAAACACTCATCTAATTTGTGCTTAATTTCTAATTCTGGAGCTAATTAAAACGCTAATTTTCCAATAAGTCTGCCCGCAGCTAGATGGCCACTTTTTTAGGCATCCATGGGTGGCTGACTCACCCTTACTCACAAATCTCAATTCTGTATAAAAAGGAAGTGGAAAAACACCCTAAATTGTACGTAATCAAAATACCATCAGAAACAACACAGTTTAATTAAAAAGGAAAATCCACAGTAATTCATTGTTTTTCCTTTCCCCTCTTCACACAAGAAATAAGAGGTAATATAGAGAAGCAATTAAAATGAAGTCTCCTTTTACCCTCAGGGTGTCTGAGTAGAACCTTTGCCAGTGAAATAATTATCTTCCCATTTCTCATCTTTCTCTCCTTTGTCATAGTGTAATTGCTTCCCGTCCTCCCTTAGAAACAATGCACAGTCTTGCCTGTTCAGTTAACCCGAGGTTTCTAGGAATTTTAGTAATCTTGTTATTTTGTTAAAATAGTAAAACTGTGTGCTTACAAAGCCATTGTCACTATTTGATTAGGACCCTGGAAAGGACTGAAAACCAGCCCAATTTCATAAACTGCAGTAAACTTGCATAACCTCTGGGATGCAGTGACTCTGAAATTAAAGAGGAGATGTGACTGTGTGTCTGTGACAGCGGTCTGCATCTAGAACTGCTCCCACGAGGCATGGCAGAAAGGAGGATTCCCTGGGCGCAAAGGTACCAACGGCGTTGAGAAACCAAACTGCGCCCTACTTTCTGACCATGATCAGACCTCAGACGAAAGCACAGGTTCTCTTCTGACCCATGAGCAAATGCTGCATTGTTTGCCCACAGAGAATTGCACCCACAGCACAAGCAGCACCATCTTCAGCTCTATGTTACATAGAGCACACAGGCACAGGCTCAGGGCCTGAGACAGACAAAACAGCGAGTCAAAATATTCCCACAAATGAAACACGGTGTGTCTCTGTCAAAGTACTCATGATCACCCTCATGCACAACTTGACGATGTGACAAACAGGAACATCTGATAAATACTAAAATCCGGTACAGAAAGCATGAGATTTAAGCACTTATAGATCCACATGCAATATCTCAAGGTGGCTCAGGAGCCAGAGAAAAGGATGGTGGTGTTCTCAGGAGCGTGGGATGGATAAAGTAAGCAAGGTGAATAAAATATCAAACCGCAAAGTGACATAGACATGAGACAGCATGAGGACCACTGAAAGAACAATCCTTGCCATTGGTGAAAGCCCGTGGAGCAATGCACGCCCAGCCATGTGGTGGCTGAGAAGGACAGTGGGAGAGCTCTTACTGTAGCGCATGGGAGTGGCTGAGGTCTTTCATATCTGAGTCCTCATAATGGGGAGCTATCATTCCCAGCCCACTGTCACTCAGCATGCGTTTCCGGAGGGCAGGATTCCACCAGTCTGATATCCTGAGAGAAAGAAGGGTACCAGACAGGTAAGCATTTGCAGTAAGCCTCTGCCTATTCCATATTTCCTCAAGATGCTCGTCTCTACAGGTGAGAGGTAAAATGAATCTGTACTGGGTATTTACCAGATACTTCACATTTATTTTTTCCCATGTTATTTGCAATAATCATCATTTCTTTGTGTGATCCTGACCTCTTTACAAATGAAAGAACTGAATTTCAAGATTATGTCATGTAAAATGTGCCACAGATAAGAGGAAATTAGGAAATAACCAAGTCCACCCTCTTTTACTGATTCCTTATTTCTGGTTTACTTCTAGAGGGGCCAAGTGGTGAGAAAAGAAAAAGGTGAGGATTCAAGTCGTAGTGGATTTTCAGGGCATGTCATTTATGGAGCTGGAGCTAACAGAGATGCCCCAGGACAAAGCCATGCCTTCTGGCCACTGTTCAGCATGGAGTGAATGACCAGGAGCGCAAAGACTAGAACTCACTTGTCAGAATGACTTTGCCCCTGATTTTGCCCCTGATTATATAAAGAGCTGGACCTGAATAGGTGGGTAGAAGGGCAGAGACTCTAGCACCTGCTGCTCTACAGGAGACCAGTCTCATGGTTGCTTTCCCTGTAACTGAGGCTCAGTGGAGGGCCAGGCCTGCAAGAGCAGTCTCCTCCACACACCTTTGGGACTCCCAGGGTTACTTCAAGTCACTGTCTTGTGCCTCTGGGTCATTCTCTCCCACCAGCATATCTCTAGGGCCACTGGCTGTGCCTTCCTAAACACAGCCGTCTGTCCATACTGCTACCACGTCTGCTCTCTTTGGACTCCCCACACACTGTGGCCCTAGCAGTGGGAAAAATACTAAAAAATAGCAATACTCAAAAAAAATTTTAAAGTAAATCAAGTAAAGAGGAGAAAACAATTAGAGTACTCAAGTGAATGTGCCTATTAAGTTGCATGAGATCGTGCAGGCAGGTTGTGTTTGCTGTTTAAATGTGTGTGCGTGCTTTCTAAGGCAATTCTTTATTTTTTTTAGTTCATTTTTAAAAAACTATTTACATTTAATCACATGTCTTTACAGTATACATTTCTTTTTGTAACACAAATACCATGCATGCCAGTCAATACAAAGACATTACTTATTCTAAATTGTTCAAATATCTAGAAATAGCAAAAACATTTTGGTGGGATAATGCAGTGGTTTAGTGCTCAGGCTCTGGCATCAGAAAACCTGGGGGACTGAGTCTCAGTTTTCCATTTATTTCCTGGGCAATAATCAGCATAATCCTGTAATCCTGAATTTTCTTATCTAGGGATTTCAGATAGTAACCATACTAAATAAGCAGAGTCACTGTAAAATAAGAACCATGATGATTACGCTAATGAAATCATCGTTCATGAATGTCTGCTAAGTGTCAGCAACTATTCAAAGTGCTTTTGTATGTATCATTTTGTTTAATCTCCAAACAATTCTCTGAGTAGGCATTTTCCATTTGTATTTTACAGATGAGGACAGAGCAAAGAGTGGTAAGAAATGATTAAGTCGCTGCGAGGTGGTGGTAGGGGCACAGGAAGGGTCTGTAGCACTGTACACGGTTATGGTGAATACTTGGTTTGCCAGTTATTGTTACGCCATGTCTTGGGCAGCCTTGAAATAACAAAGATAGAGGAATCCTTGTCAGATCACCTGTGTCCATTTTTTTTAAATTCTGTAACAGAGTCACTAGATGTATATGCACAAATGCAAATACTAGTATTTTCTAGGTTTGTCTCACATGGTGAGTAAGAATGCTTGGAAGTGGTATTAATCTGGCTGGGAAAGAGGACTTCTAAGACTTACAGCAGAACCAGCAATTTCACACACTAAGGAAACACAAGAAAAAAAACTTACATTTCAAAATAGACTGAGGTCCTTAGAACGTCAAGTCCAAAGCCAAGCCAGCCACAAAGTCACCTTGTGGCCAGCCTCCCATGTGTATCAACAAAGGCAAAGCACACTCACGTGGTATTAATCTGGATGTGAAGGAGTACCTCTAAGACTTACAGCAGAACCAGCAATTTCCCACACTAAGGAAACACAAGAAAAAAAACTTACATTTCAAAATAGACTGAGGTCCTTAGAACGTCAAGTCCAAAGCCAAGCCAGCCACAAAGTCACCCTGTGGCCAGCCTCCCATGTGTATCAACAAAGGCAAAGCACACTCACCCCGAGGCTTGCTCCACCACAAGATCTGGCATGCCAGGAGGTGTCCCTGCCTGCTGTGACACCACCATATCTGGGTCCAGAATAAAAATCTCATCTTGAGAAATCTCCATCACAAAGTGCAAATGTTCCTAAGGAAGAAAAACAAGCCTGTCAAAGGACTGGTGGGATGCTCAAATCCATCATCTGAAGAATAATAAAACATTCTTGGTCTCGAAGAAGAAGGACATTCTGTGACATGTCAGATGATCACAGTACATCGTCAGAGTCCTGCCCAGTGGACTGCTTCACTGAAGCAATACTGTAGCAGGCAGTGGGTGATGGGGAGCAATGAGTGCCCTTGCTTCAGGATTCCTACTTGACTAGGATCTCCTTAGAAATAACCAGAAATGGTCTTGCCTCTTCCCTTTTCTAAATAGTGTCAAAGAATGTCCCTGGGAGGGACCAGCAGATGGCATAATGGCTATGTCGTTGTACTCCCATGTAGTCGACCGTGGTTTGAGTCCTGGACCCTGTGGCTTAAACTCCTGCCGGGCACATGTGTGTGCATGCCCAAATTCCAAGAAGAGAATAGAGGACAAGGGATTGTGGCATGGCCACCCCCCTTGGGGGTGTTCTCACTTTCTGTCTTTCTAGTGAGTGGACATGCTCTATAGCAAAAAATAAATAAAAATAAATAAAAACTCTTAAAAAAAAAAAAAAAAAGAATGTCCCTAGGTCCAGCAGAGTGGACAAAATCCTACCTTTATGCCCTCATGGTCTGGCCAAAGCTAAGTGGTATGGTTACCACTGGGCTTCTTACTGCTTTTGAAACTGAAACTGTACGCTTTTTTCCCAGGAGAATTCAGACAGTGAAAGATCTGATAACCTTGGACAAAAATACTTTTTTTTTTCTCATTACTAAACTCTGGGGATTGATGAGCTAAAACTAAGGAGCCAAGACAGACACGTGAAGTTTCAAATTGCCAATCAGAAATGAGCTTAAAAATGCATAAAGTTTAGCTAGAAAGAAGTAAAACTAGCAGTTTGAGTGATACTTTAGGGAGCAGGTTGGTGGTCATATCTATAAAGTCAAGTTATCTTTTGTGTGTTTTTGCCAAATCAAGGCATGTTATCCAAAGCCCATAAATGCTAAAATACATGAAGACAAAGCAAAGGTTTATAGCTTAAGTTATGAATCCTATTCCAGAATTGGTAATGTTTCAGTATTTTCATTACAAAACTTGATGAGATTAGCTATCAATAAAGCATATGGCACCAAGTGGCATGGTGGTTAAGACATTAGATTTCCACATGGCTGACAGCAGTTCGAGTCCTGGACCCAGCAACTGGAAACTCATGCCAGGTGTGTGTACTTGTGTGTGCCCAAAATCCTGAGAGGAGAAAAGTGGGGAAGGGATTACAAATGGGGTGATTTTTCACTTTCCCTCTCTCCATCTTTCTCTTTCTCTCAGGCAAGCACCCTATAGCAAAAAGCTCTCTTAAAAATATTTAAAACAAATATAAAATATAAAGCATATTGACTGGGGGATTTTTTACTCTCACAAGCAGGCTGAAGAAAAACTTACCTGAGATCTGTCTGCCCGATAAAAGCGATCAGCAGAAGTTGCTAGGGAAAAAAAAAAAAGCACATGGCATTCAGAGTCAGCTATGACTTAGAGCCTTCTCTTCCACTGTACCCAAAAAAATAAAATAAAACCCCTCACTGAACTCCCAGCCAGTCTCTAAATCTATTTTTAAAAGTCTAACAATTCTACATCTCTGCTGCTGCTATTCCAGTGCTTAGACACCCTCCCCATTGTGTCTACCATTTAAGCCTTATTTGTTTTTAAGGACCAATTCAAATGCTTTAGCCTCCATAAACATTCTTCAGTCTCAACGTCCCTACCCAAGAGAGAATTCACTGCTCCAATATCTGTGCACCTTTACATTTTGCTTAAACTTAGAAAGACTGTCTTCATGGACAATTATGAGACTAAGAGATGTGTCTGTTTCTTTGGACCAGCAGGTGACATAGTGGCTAAGATGCTGGACTCCCACGTGACCAACTGCAGTTCTAGTTCCAGATCCAACCATTGCTAACTCATGCCAGGTATATGTGTGTGCATGCCCAAAATCCCAAGAGGAGAATGGAGGAGAAGGGTTATGGTGTAGACATCATCACCCCTGGGTGAGGATGATTTCTCACTTTCTACCTTCTGTCTCTCTGTCTCTCTGTCTCTCCAGCAAGCATATTGCCTTATAGCAAAAATCTCTAAAAAAAATTAAAGAATATTTAAGGTTTCTGGTCTCTCTGTCTCTCTGTCTCTCCAGCAAGCATATTGCCTTATAGCAAAAATCTCTAAAAAAAAATTAAAGAATATTAGAGGTTTCTGTTTATGAATATTCTTTTATGTCTCCAGAAATTAACACAGGTCCTCTAACAGAGCTGAGACTTGATATGTATTTATTAAATAAATAAAGCTAGGACCAAAAAAATTGTAGTGGCACAGACTTCTTGGGGAGGTGGTTCCCATTTTGGAAAACAGATTACAGAAGCAGGCCAGGGTCCACCTCTAGCCATAATACAAATATTTCACTTCCAAACTGCCTCCTTAGAGCCATGTCTGAAGAACCCAAAACAGAAAAAAGATTATTTAAGAATTTCTAAAAGGAACTGTGTTGCACTGGTGGTTTAAGAAAAATATAAACAAAAATTACTAATGTGAAAATTCTAGAAATTATTTTTATTATGTTTAATATTAAAAACAATGATGCTCCTCTTCACTTAAATTTAACAGAGCCACAATATTACAAAAAGATTTTCTACAGAAAAAGAAAAAAGCACAAGTGAGAAAAACTCAAATGCAAGTAATCATTTGCAAACCGCAAATGTTTAATAAGAAGCTTCTCTCCAAAGGAGCTGAGCTGAGAAATGAGACAGTCATAGTCTCTGTTCTCTAGAAGGTAAGAAAAGGATAACATTTACCTCTAAAAAGCTTCTTTTGCTTTGTTCCTTTTAACCATGAGTGAAATTACCTTTTAAAAGTTTGTAATGAAGCTCTTTATAAAGTAAAACTAATGTTCAAGTTAAGACTATTATCTATACTTGTAGTTTTAGAGAAAACTATATATAGACCATAACTTACATAAATATTTTCATAATTTTAAAAATACAAGTTGTTCCTCTGTAAAATCAGGAACAACAAATGTACTTTTCATATCTACGTAAGCAGCAAGCTGGAGGACAATCTTCAGGGGCACTGGGTGAGCCATTAATGAACGCTTGCATCACAATCTGTGTGGACTGGGTCTCATACTGCAAGTGCCCATCTTCAAGACATCATTCCTATACACACATATCCTGTCATACTCTTATCCACATTTATGTCCTCTCAAATACACATACAGATCAACAAAAGACACATCTCCAATGAAAGCCTTGTCTCTGCATAGGTAAGTGAGAGGCTGTATCTATTACATTGCAAAGTACATAAGCAAGAATGTACAGAGCCAGAAAGTATTGCAATAATGTAATTGAATAGCAAAATGCAGAAAACATCAAAGAATTTATGAAAAAAAAATAGAATTAAAGGATGAGTTTATTTTGGAGTTAAAAAACAAAAACTTGAAATCCACACACAACTCTTTCATAATACACATTTTTCATGAACTTTTTAAGACCCCCCTCAGAGTATTAGGCAGCTTCTAAAAGAGTGAGAGATGCTTGAGATGGAACATAGACTCATTAAATAATCATAAAGTCGCCTATTATGCATGCAATATGTTATGCTCAGTAAAGCAAATTGAACATAACTGGAGTGTTCTATTCTTTTTATAAAAGTTCATACATCATACTGAAATGATGGCCTCATGAAAATATAAAAGTTCAGGACATACAAACAATATGGAAATTGGTACCCGGTACTGGCCTTCGTTTAGGGTATGGATTTAACAATTTTTTAAAAAGGGGGGTGATAAAAGGGAAATGTCAGCTTGAGCAACTAGGCTCCGAGAAGTTTAGCCTGGAACTTTACAGGATAACCAATTAGCTTTGCGGGAAGTGACTTCAGGAAAGAGTCCAGCAACATAAGCCAGTCTACCTCGTTTGAGATGCAAATCCCAGTCATGTGGAGTCACATGAAGGCCTTCTGACTAAGGATCTGGAAAACCAGAGTCCACTCTACTAATCACTACCTTGCTCCACAGTTCCCTAAACCCCTCCCTTCATGAAACACAGAGCACTCACCGTCTAGGAAGCACCACCGAGGAGAGAGCCTTTGAGCTGAAAGCGCCCTGGGGAAGGAGGTTTCGTGGTCCTAGAAAGAGACACACACATTCTCATGGCTCCATTTGAAAAACCTGCAGAGGGTCTTTCAAAGGTCTGGATGTTCTGCCATATCACCTATGTCTGGGAGCAAGCATCCTGACCTCAACGAAACACTGGAGAGAAGACCCCGGAACAGATTTTGTTCTTACTAAAAACAGAAACACAGGTCCTGCTTGGAAAAAAATGATCTTCTATGTAACTTTTAAAAATATCCTCCATATAAAGTTTTCAGGAAGTGTTTCATCATTCTATTACACATTCATAAACGATCTAACTGGGGACGTTTACTTCCTTTTGGGAATGTGTGTCTTTCACTTTGTGAAGCCGGGAAACTTCTGGCCTTGGCTGCTGTTTACATTTCAGTTCTCCACATAGGTAGGTATCAGGCAATTGGCACAGAATGGAAAAGAACCACACTGCATCTACCGCCCAGACAGGACTAGTATGTAAGGAAAACCACAAGCTGTCCACCTGCAGCTTCAAATCTCTGAACTAGAGGAGCTTCTATGGGCCACTCATCTGCATAAAAGCAAAGAAAATCAATCTCATATGTTGAGATCATCTTTTCTCTAGGCCCTCTTCATGGAAGCTGACTACAGAAGAGTAGACATGGAGGAATAAAAGTTCCACAAGCGAGGCTGACAGGAGGCATGCTGGTTAAGGCAGACTCCCACATGGCCAACCACAGTTTGAGTCCCAGACCTGGTGGCTTGCTTTTTTACTTTCCCCCTACCTCTCTCTCTCTCTTTCTCTCTCTCTCTGCTCAAATTGAATAATAATAATAAATAAAATTAAATAATATTTTTTTTAAAGTTCCATCACCGTGACTCATGACAAATATTACTTTGTCCAATGCTGACCCAGCCAGCAATGTGCTATTCTACCTGAGAATTCTCCAGGTGTTCCACTTCTTTCTTTTATTTCTTTTTTCTTTCTTTACTTTTTTGTTTTAATTTGTTGTTTTGTTTTTGCACTACGGGGTTTGTGCACTCACCAAAGAGAGACAGAGAGAGAGAGAGAGAAGGAGAGGGAGAAAACACCACCCAATAGGGCATGGTCATACTATAATCCCTTCTTCTCCATTTCTCCATCTTAATGGAATTTGGGATATGCACACACATGCTCCCAGCATGTTTCTTCAGCTACCAAGGCTTGGATTCAAGCCATGCATTCAGCCATGTGGGATCCAGCTCTCTGAAACACCAAGCCAAAAGGCCAGCCTGAGGTGTCCCACTTCTAAGACTACCACAATCACTCCCCTAATATTGACCTCAAGGCCATCTGATATAAGACCCTCATTCTTTCGATTAGTCTTAAGACTCTCTACTCCAAAGCTAGCTTTTCTAGTTAGTCTCTAGAGACTATCTTCCCTCTTTTAAATATTTATTTCTATAACATTGCTAAAACTTACTCCTCTATCCTCAAACCTAATAACTCTTCTGATTCCAGTGGTTCCCTTGTCCTAAAAAAAAATCCTCCTTGACTAAAATCCTGTTGCATCTTCTAACATTTTCTTCATCTCTCCTTTCTTGCTCTGCCAAACTCCTGAAGCATGAGTTTATCTCCTGACTCCAGCTCTCACTTACCCACTTCCATTGTGACCCTAGAAGCCTGACTTGTGACCCAGGCTTGGAAAGCTCCTTTTCTAAGAGGTATCCAGAGTCAGTTTCCTTTCCTGATTGAATATTCCCCTCAGCCTCCAAACTGCCTTGGAATGTCTGAAGCTTTTCTTTATTACAAAGAATTCAGGCTACATCACTTGAAGAATAGACTAGGAAATTGTCAGGTTGAAAACTGAAAGGAGTATCTATGATTCCAAATTTTCATGAATTATAAAGCTCCCTTACAAAGAGAAACTCTTCCAAGTGTTGGTTTGCTTGCCTTCTGCCTTACAATACATGATTTGGAGCATTCTATCCCCAAATCACAGTGAAATTATAATTACTGGCAGAAGTGGGACCAAAAAGTGAAGCTGAGTTTCTGTGGGAGGACATAGCACTTGACCCTTAATAGGGATTTGAAGTGTTTGAATGCAGGGACATCCCTTAGAGCAGCTGTGCTGGCAGCAATGTAGACTTAGCAGCAGGAGCCACAGGTGTGGGTCATCACGTCATAAAAAAGAGACAGAAAGGAACAGGAATAACACAGGAGAAGTCACGGAAGAGAGTCAATGAGAGGTTACATTGACTTGCTTGGTGGTTTATCAATACTCCCTGCTGCCTCACTTGATCCTCGGACAAAGCCCATGTGTAAATCAGAGGTTCTCAAAGTATGAGCTCTGAAACAGCTGCCTCAGCCCTGGTCCAAGCCTAAGGAAACCCTGTGGGTGGAACCTAGCCATCTGTTTCAACAAGCCTTTCGGGTGAGTCTGATGAACAGTAAGACCTAGAACCAGAAGTTTGCAGTTACTAGGACAAAAGGGATCCATCCTATTATTCAAATCTTGAGTGTATGGCGTTCTTAATATGAGTAGATTCTACAAGTTAAATAAGGGATAGAGAAAATGTGGTCTCAGGACTGTCAAAATCATAGACATATTTTGATGCATATGTGTGTTTGTGTGTGTATGTATATAATAATTATCTATTCTATGAGAAAGAAAGAAAGAAACAGGGACAGAAGCCCTGACAGAACCTGTCATGCCCCAATCCTGCCTCTAGCTCTGCAGTCTGCTCTCCCAGTGTGCTAAGGTTCATCACAGATCTGAAACCTGGCCATTCCAGCATCAACCAGTGGCACCCTACCACCTGCACCACTGCAGCTGGGCCAAAATTCATATTTATAAATACCAAGGTGATATTGCTATGAATCAAAAGATAGATATTTCTCTCTTTTGAGCTGACTCTGTTATCCTGCTGGTTGAGCTAAATGAAAGCTTGGCATGTGCTCAGTGCCTATTTCTGTGAGGATGATGTATAATATTTTGAGAATTGTATTTTGACATGTGACATTTTGTTTTAGAGGAACTTCAGGTTCTTAATGCATTTTTACAAAATGTGTAAAGCTACCAACAGCTCTCAGTTTGGTGGAAAATGTAATTACAGACCAGGAAATTTGAAAGTGATCTGAAATGTATAGCAGCACTGATAAAAGCTAGTAAATAAAGATACTAAACAGTTACATGACTGTCTTCTCTAAGAGTAAAGAAGGGTCACAGGAAGAGTATTTTCTGAATTTGATGTTGAATGTGCCACGGAGATCATAAAAACATATCCTAATTCCACTAGGTGAAAAAATAATCTGAAGAAATATAAAAAATGCTTAAGTTATCATCTGAAAAATCTAAGGATTGATAACACTACGGCTAGGATACTCAAACTAGAAAAACTATATTTTATTTAAGCTAGGAATAAAATGAAGATTGGTGTATTACGTCAGCTACCTGGGTAGTTTACCACAGGCTAGTCAGGGACACTGGCATAATTGTATACATATTTATGAACAGGTGTGTCTGTTTGTCTGAAGAGTTATATGCAAGTACCTGACTTGATGTATCCTTTTTTTTTTTTTTTGGCTTATTCCTGTTGATTTATTTATGCTACACCTTGATCCATAAAGCATTTTATATAACTCCGTATCCTTGCAGAGGTTGTATTTAAACATAAAGTTATCTGTTTGCTAGTTGAAAACACAGTTCCAAAATAAATCTGGTTCAACAATTCTTGAACTTCCTAAAATTTTGTGCTAAGTCTGGTATGTCTGTAGGTATATGAAATTTCCTGTTCAGAGGAACCTTCATTGTCTATAGATTATTAGATCATTTCAGATTCTCAAAAGGTGAGCAAGATACTAATTTAAATCATCCAAAATTTTGATCAGAAGGAATTCAACAAATTACGATGCTAATCAGTAAAATGCCTTAGCTATATCCGAAGGCTCACAAATGCAGGAATCACCATTTCAGAGTTACCAGTGATGACCTCAACATCAGAACCTGAGCTCGCGGTTCTTTTCGTAGTGGGCTAAAAGCGGTCCAATTTCTGCATAGAAGAACTTAAACTTTTTGCTTATTTCCATCCATGGTCCTTCTCAAACATTTCCCTTCAGTTCTTTAAATTCTTCTACTTACATTCATTTTTTTTTTAACAGACAAGGGGAAGTATATTTATACCAAGCAATGGATAGTCTTAGAAACTGAGGTTAAACAACATATTGTTCATTGAAGACACAGCAAACCAATTGAGAGGACAATTTTAATGAATAATTAGACACTTTCCTAGTGACCTGAAGATTAATCTGTGATTTTAGGGGTTGCTAGAAAGACACAAACAGAGCCCTAACTTCTCTGAAATGCTTCCCTGAAATATTGGGTGTTGGAAAAGTCATGACAGATTTCTGCATAGAAAAACAGAAAAAATACATCATGACTTTTACAATAGGCTTCCATCCTCTTCTTTGAAGCTCTTTCCCCTTGTTCAAAAAAAAAAAAAAAAAAAAGAGAAAGAAAGGAAAAAAAAGAGAGAGGTTTTAAGGGGACAGTTAATAATACAATGAGGTCATTTGAATTCCAAAGAAAATGTAATTAAGATCTGTGTATATTTCTAATGTATTAATAATTGAACTACTGGGACCAGCAGTTAGCGTAATGGCTATGTCACTGGACTCCCACATAGTCGACCACAGTTCATGTCCTGGACTCGTGGCTTGAAACTCATGCCGGGCGCCTATACATGCGTGCCCAAGATCCCAAGAGGAGAATGGAGGAGAAGGGATTGCGTCGTGGCCATCCCCCATGGGGAGTGATTTCTCGCTTTCTGTCTCTCTGTCTCTCTGTCTCTCTCTGTCTTTCTGGCGAACGCACGCACCCTATAGCAAAAAACCTTTAAAAATAAATAATAATTGAACTACTTATTTTAAAATTGTATATATACAAAAACATATATAAAATCAGTCAAGTGTCAACCAAATTTTGCCTTTGGATCTAATCTATAAACACACACAAAGGGTCTTCAACAAATTTATTGAGGTGTTGGCAGTAAAATACAATGC